GAGAAGTTGTTTCCTGTAGTTAGGGGAGTCCAGAACTGGAGGAGGAGTGGGTCACAGACTCAGGATACATGGTAGGATTGAGATGGGAAAAATATCTTCACCAGACAGTGGGGAGCCTGTGGAATTCTCTGCCACATAAAGTGCACAAGACCACAACATTGAATGTTTCCAAAAAGGAGTTAGATATTGTCCTTAGAGCTAAAGGGATCAAATGGTTTTGGGGGGAAAGTGGGAACAGGGGACCGAGTTAGTTGACCAACCATGATCATATTAAATGGCATAGGGCTTGGAGGATTGAATGGCTGACTCCTGCTTCTAGTTTCTGCTTTAATTCATCTGTTTTCAAAGAATTCCCCAGTTCCCACTCAAAAGCCTTGATTGGACCTGCCTCCACCACATTCTCCACTTGGGATTAGTTTGGGATTCATACAGGGCTGTTGGGTGAGCTCAGGGCAGTAGGATTAGTTTGGGGAATGAGACAGAGCTGTGGGCAGGGAGCGGAGAAGTGGGGTTAGTCTGGGGATTGATACAGGACTATGGGGAGAGAGCAGGAATTTAGTTGACACATTATGTGGTGTATAGAATTACAGTAATTTGGAAAGACCACAGTTGACCTGTAACCAGAGACACTGTTTGGAAACCGTTCCACTGTTGTCTGTCTTTGAACAATTTCTAAACACTTTACATTTCCTCGAGTGGTGTTATTTCCTTGTTCCCACTGTCATGGACACTCCCCGTCCCAATGAAAAGGTCAGTGCTGCCCACATTGCCTCAGACATCCTTCACCCCACTGAAATTTACATAAATCGACACCAGAATCTTCCCTCTTTGAGTGAATCATCAGCCAAGTGAGCGATGGGTTCAACTGATTCTCTCAGTATATCAGAAATGCCATCTTCTATTTTTAACAACAGAGCAGCCAAGGGATGCTCCATCTCAGGCCTAGGGTTGACCAATTGCCCACCCGATACGCGGGACCAAGAATGTCTCCCTTGCACACATTCAGACTAGGCGAGGCCCAGGCTCTACCTCGGGCCTAGTTTTGACAGATTGCTCACCCGGTTCATGAGGCCAAGAGTGATTCCCTTACACACAATTGGACTAGGTGAGGCCCAGGGTCCACCTTGGGGTAGCATTGACATAGCCTTGACAAACTGAGAAAACACCAAAGAGATAGACGGAAATGTTCAGTGATAGAATGATTCCGATCTTGGTGAAATATTGAGCAACAGTTCACATGACGAAGGGTAGAGGGATGGATAGAATGGCAAAGAGATGGACGGAAAGGCAGAGGAATGGGCAGATTGGCGAAGGGACTGAGAGGTGTGGAAAGTGTTAGCGATACAGAGGGAAAGATGAACAGAGATGAAGAACGTTGACGATAGCGAGTTAGAGAGAAAGATAGAGAGATCGTGAGCCGTTTGGAGCGATTGTATAATGGGGACAAAGAAATGGCTGAGGAACTGAATACATACTTTGGTTCTGTCTTCACAAAAGAGGACACAAATCAGATACCAGAATTGTTGGAGGATGCAAGATTTAGTGAGAGAGATCGATATTAGTAAAGAAATGGTGCTGATAAATGTCTAAGGCCTGATAATCTACATCCCACAGTACTTAAGGAAGTAGCTCTAGGAATAGTGGATGTATTGGTGGTCATCTTCCAGGATTCTATAGACTCTTGAACAGTCCCTGCAGATTGGAGGGTGGCTAATGCACTCTAATATTCAAAAAGGGACATAGAGAGAAAACGGGGAATTATAGACCGATGAGCCTAACATCGTTAGTGGACAAAATTCTTGAATCCATTGCCAAGGATTTTACAGCAGGGCATTTAGAAAGCAGTGGCAGGATCAGAGAGAGTCAGCATGGATTTATGAAAGGGAAATCATGCTTGACAAATGTGTTGGAATTCTATGATGATATAACTAGTAAAGTTGACATGGGAGAGCCAGTCGATATAGTATATTTGCACTTTTAGAAAGTGTTTGAAAAATTCCCACATGAAAGATTAATGTGCAAGATTAAAGCGCATGGCATTGGGGGAAGTATATTGAGATGGATAGAAAACTGGTTGCCAGAGAGGAAACAAAGAATAGGAATTAATTGGTCCTTTTCAAATTGGTAGACAGTAACTGTGTGGGGTGCCACAGGGATTGGTGCTGGGACCCCAGCTATTCACAATACGTATTAGTGATTTGGATGGGGGGACAAAATGTAACATCTCCAAGTTTGCAGATGATACCAGGTTGGGTGGGAGGGTGAACTGTGACGAGGATGCAGAGATCCTTCAGCATGATCTCGGCAAGTTGGGTGATTGGGCAACTCAATGGCAGATACAGTATAATTAGGATAAATGTGAGGATACTCACTTTGGAAGCAAAAACAAGAAGGCAGATTACTACCTGAATGGCTGTAAATTGGGAGAAGGGAGTGTGCAGTAAGACCTGGGCCTCCTTGTGCACCAATCACTGAAGGTAAGCATGCAGGTGCAGCCGGCAGTAAAGAAGGTAAATGGTATGTTGGCCTTCATTGCGAGTGGTTTCGAGTACAAGAGCAGTGATGTGTTGTTGCAGTTGTAGAAGGACTTGGTGAGGCCACACCGAGAATATTGTGCGCAGTTTTGGTCTCCTTTTCTGGGGAAGGATGCTCTTACTCTCAAGGGAGTGCAGTGAAGGTTTACCAGGCTGATTCTGGGGATGGGGGGGTCTGACGTATGTGGATAGTTTGACTAGGTTGGGATTGTTTTCGCCAGAGTTCAGATGAATGGGGGAGATCTCATAGAGACTTATCAAATTCTAACAGGACTGGACAGGGTAGATGCAGGGAGGGTGTTCCCGATGGTGGGTGTGTTCAGAACCAGGGGTCACAGTTTGACGATTTGGGGTAGATGATTTAGGATGGAGATAAGAAGTCATTTCTTCACCCAAAGAGTGGTGAGCGTGTGGAATTCATTACCACAGGAGATGATGCCAAAACATTGAATGTATTCAAGACGTGACGAGATACAACACATGGGGCAGATGGGATCAAAGGTTCTGGAGAGAAAGCAGGATTAGGCTATTGAGTTGGACAATCAGCCATGATTGTGAAGAATGGCGAAGCAGGCTTGAAAGGCCTAATGGCCTCCTCCTGCTCCTATCTCCTATGTTTCTATTTTTCTATGATTGGTGGGACAATGGAGAGAGATGGAGAGCTATAAGGCCTGGATTTTCCAATAACAAACTGGACAGTTGTTTTTCCAATGTAGGTGACAGTTGTGCATGGGGAACCTGTGAGGAATCCCTATTGTAGCTCATTCTGAGGGCAGTGGAGAGATAGAGAGAAAGGTGGAGAGATAGAGAGAAAGGTGGATGGTGGAGAGATAGAGTGGATGGTGGACAGAGGGGGGAATATGGATGGATAGAGAGAAAAGTGGAGAGTGAGCTGGAAAGTTGGAGGGAAAGGTGCAGAGATAGAGTGAAAGAGGGAGGGATAGAGAGGAAGGTGGAGACATAGAGAGAAAGGTGGAGGGATAGAGTAAGGTGGCGGGATAAAGGAAGATGGAGAGATAGAATGTTGGAGAGGTAGAGACAAAATGAAAGAAAGAGTATGAGAGACAGAGACAAAGATGGAGAGATAGAGAGTGAGAGAAAGAAACGCTGTGGGAGATAGAGAGAACATTACCAAGATGGGACTAAGGTGGAGGGATAGAAAGGAAGATGGACACATTGAGAGGAAGAGTGTGAGATAGAATGAAAGATGGACTGAGAGAAAGTTGGAGAGATTGAGGGAAAGGGGGCAAGTTTGAGAGAACAAGAAAGATGGAGAGTTAGTGTGAAAGGTAGGGAGATAGAGAATGATAGAGAGACAGACTATGCATGTCGGGGGTGGAGGAGAGTGTGTGTGGGGGCGAATGTGTGTGTGGGAGGGAGTGTGCGTGTGAATGAGAGGGAGTATGTGGGAGAGAATGTGTATGTATGTGTGTCAGGGGCAGTGTGAGTGCATGAGAATATGTGTGTGAGAGAAGGCATGTGTGAGAGAGAGTGCATGTGTAAGACAAAGAGTGTGTGAGAGAGAGTGTGTGCGCGAGAGAGTGTGTGTGCATGAAAGAGAGATTGTGCGTGTGAAAGGAATGTGTGAGAGACTGTGCTTGAGAGAGGCAGTGTGAAAGTGAGTCTGTGAATGTGAGTTTTTGAATGTGAGTATATGTGAGAGAGAGAGAGAATGAAAGAGATTGTCTGAAAGAGATACGTGTGAGAGGTTGTGTGTGGGAGAGAGGGAGAGTTTATGGGAGAGAGTATGTGAGTAAGAGAGAATGTGTGAGAGTGTGGGAGGGAGTGTGTGTGAGAGAGCGTGAGTGATTGTGTGTGTGAGAGAGGGTCTGTGAGGGAGGGTGTCTGAATGCATGTGAGAGAATCTGTGTGTGCGTGTGTGTGTAACAGTCCTTGTGTGTGTGAGTCAGTCTGCGTGTGAGACTGACTGTTGCGTGTACATGTGAGAGTCGATGTATGTGAGACAATTTGTGTGTGTGAGAGACAGTCTGTGTGTGCGTGACTGTGCGTGTGTATGTGTGCACGTGCAATTAGATCAAACTTGAATCACGAAGTAGCAGGTGGTGATAGTGTGTCTCTCACTCTCTCTCACATGCACATAAACAGCTCAGTCTGATTGTGAAAGGGACTGCTTTTCATTGCAGTTTGGTTGCATTTCTTTGAAGGAACCTGGAGCCTGTGATGAGGATGGTGAAGAATGCGCTGAGTAATTTCTGTGACGGAATGCCTAGGTGAGTAATGAACGGAAATAGTTGACCATTTGAGAAAGGTGTTTATGGGAGTTCCCTTTCGACACACATGGTTCTCCCAGACAGAGACTGTGAGACAATCACTTTAAACATGTACACAGATTGTGTTGTCAGAAACAATCATCCCAGTGGGGGTGGACTGGGGAATTTGTGATCAGCCAGCTTTTCCGTTTCAGAGAGGTATTTATAGGGTTTCGATGTCACCCAAACCCACACTCACAGTCAGTCAAACTATTAACAATAGGTGCAGGCACCAAAGTCAGCTCACCATGCAGGATCTGCGAGGTAAGGCAAGATTTCTCTCAACACTACCCCTGCCTCGCAACTCCCCTCTCTTCTTCTCCCTCCATCCCTCTCTTTCTCTCTCCCTTTCTTCCTTGCTCTCTCACCAGCAATCACTTCACTCTCTTTCTTTTCCTCTCTCTCTGCCTTTCCTTCTCTATCTGTCCTTCCTTCTTTCCATCCTCTCCCTCTCTTTATTTCTTTTCCCTTGCGCTCTCTCCATCCCTCTCTCTCTCTCTTCACTCTGTCTTGCTCTATCCATACCTCTCTCTCTTCTTTTCATCTTGCCTCTCTCACCATCACTCCTTTCCCTCTCGCTCTCTTCCTGTCTCTCTCGCTTCCTCTTTTTCTGCTCTCTCTCCTTCCTTTCTCTCCATCCTTCTCCCTCTGTTTCTTTCTTCCCTTTCTCTCTCACTATTTCTCTCTTCCTCTCTCTTTCACTTACTTCTGTCTCTCTCCTCTTCCCTCTCTTTCTTCCTCCCTGCCTCTCTCTTGCCCTCTTTCTTTCTCTCCATCCATCTCCATCTCTCACCTCCTTTTTTCCTCTTTTCCTCTACCTTCCTTCTCTCCCTCCTCTCTTGGCTCACTCCACTTCTTGCCTCTCTCTCTCGCTCTCCCTTCTCTGTCTTTCTCTCTCCCTCCCTTCCTTTCTCAATCGTTTTTTTTCTTGCTCGATCTGTCTCTCCCTTCTTGTTTTTCCCAACCTTCCCTCTCTCAGTTCCTCACTCACCCCTTCCCACTCTACATCCCCTCATTCATTTCTCCCTCTCTCTCTCCGTGCACTGAGCACTTCAGCTCTTGACCATGTCTTGCTGCAGGTCAGCTGCGGACGGAGGGAGCGAGAGACGCTGGAAAGAGAGAGATAGAGAGAGAGAATGATGGAGAGAAGGTGGGGGAGAGAGAGGAAGGAAGAGAGAAGGAAAAAGGGGAAGAGTGAGAGGGAGAGTGAGTGAAGGAGAGGGTGAAAGATGGAGTGAGAGAGAGAGGAAGTGGAGAGACAAGGAGCAAGAGAGAGAAAGATAGAGGGAGGGAGAGAGAGAGAGAGACAGACAGACAGAAAGAGAGAGATTGATGGAGACATGAGAGAGAGAGAGGCAGAGGGACCAAGAGAGAGAATTAAAGGAAGGTGGAAAGAGAGATGGAAAGGCAGGAAAAGGAAATGACAGAGGGAGCGAGTGGGGAAGTGAGAGAGAGAGAGAGGGAAGCAGATGGAGGAAAAGAAAAGACAGAGGGAGAGGAAGTGGAAGATGGAAAAGTAAAGGAGGGAAAGAAGACAGGGATGGAGAGAAGGAGCAAATGGGTGGAGTGGAGAGCAGAGAGTGGAATCAGATAGGATTGACAGGAAGATAGGATTGAGGGAGGGAAGGATGTCAAAAAGAAATGATCAAAAGGATGAAAGGATGGACATGAAAAAAACCTGAAGCATCAACAGGATGAAGAAGAGATAAGGAAAGAAAAACAGGGAATGGAAAATATGAGGAAGTAGGGAATGAAGAAGTGAAACAGAAAAAAGATGTAAAAATTTGATGGGCAAAAGGAGAAAAAATTAAAGTCAAAAAAGGGAAATGGCAAAGAAGAGGGAATAAAGGAAAAAATCATATTGAAAATACAGCAAGAAAAGCGACACAAAGGTAGTGCCCACTCGCTCCGAACTGAGCCTCCGACAGTGCGGAGCTCCTTCAGCACTGAACCTCCAACAGTACGGCGCTCCCTCAGCGCTGACCCTCTGACAGTACGGCGCTCCCTCAGCGCTGGTCCTCCGACAGTGTGGCGCTCCCTCAGTGCTGACCCTCCGACAGTGCAGCGCTCCCTCAGCACTGACTCTCCGACAGTGCGGCGCTCCCTCAGCGCTGGCCCTCTGACAGTGCCCGCTCCCTCAGTGCTGACCCTCCGACAGTGCGGCACTCCCTCAGCGCTGACCCTCCGGCAGTGCAGAGCTGCCTCAGCGCTGACCCTCCGACAGTGCCCTCTCCCTCAGCACTGACCCACCATCAGTGCGGCGCTCCCTCAGCGCTGACCCTCCAACAGTGAGGCGCTCCCTCAGTGCTGACCCTCCAACAGTGCCCGCTCCCTCAGCGCTGACCCTCCGACAGTGCCCTCTCCCTCAGCGCTGACCCTCCAACAGTGCCCGCTGACCCTCCGACAGTGCGGCGCTTCCTCAGCGCTGACCCACCGACAGTGCGGCACTCCTTCAGCACTGACTCTTGACAGTGCAGAGCTTCCTCAGCACTGACCCTCCGACAGTGCAGAGGTCACTCAGTCCTGACCCTCCGACAGTGCCCGCTCCCTCAGCACTGACCCTCTGACAGTGTGATGCTCCCTCAGCACTGACCCTCCAACAGTTCCCGTTCCCTCAGTGCTGACCCCCCGACAGTGCGACACTCCCTCAGCACTGACCCTCCGACAGTGCGGCACTCCCTCAGCCGTGACCCTCCGGCAGTGCAGAGCTCCCTCAGTATTGAACCTCTTATGGTTGAGTTGTAGGGGGTCAGAGGATGCCTATGTGATAGTGTGGGGTGTAAGAGCTGCTGGAGGTTTCAGAGGTAGGGAGGGGTGTAAGGGCTGAATGAGGTGACAGTGGTAGTGAGGTGTGTAGGAGCAGGAGGAGGACTCAGAAATAGATAGAAGTATAGGAGCTGGACCAGGATACAGATGAGTATCGGGACAGGAGGAGGTCACAGAGATAGGGAGTGATGTCATGGATTGGGGAAATTGCAGAGATGCAAAGAGTGTAGGGAACAGTGGGAGGTTAGAGATAGAGAGGTGTTTAGGGGATGGAGGAGGTTACAGAGATAGGGAGGGGTCTAGAGGCTGGATGCATTTTCAGAGATAGGGTGCCGTGTACGGGGTTGGAGAAGGTTACAGAGATTGGGAGGGGTGTAGTGACAGGAGCAGTTTCCAAAGAAAGGTAGGGTGCGTAGGGGCTGGAGGAAGTTACAGAGATAGGGAGGGGTGTAGGGGCCAGCAGAGATTACAGAGATAGGGAGGACATGTAGGGGCTGGAGAAGGTTACAGAGGAAGGGAGGAGTGTAAGGGCTGGAGGAGGTTATTGAGACCAGGAGGAGTGTAGGGGCTGGCGGAGGTTGCAGAGACATGTCAGGTGTGTAGGGCCTGGAGGAGGCTACAGAGACGGCAAGGGGCATAGGGCTGAAGGGGCTTACAGGGATAGGGAGGGATCATAGGTCTGGAGGGTGTTAGAGGAGTAGGGAGGGAGGGTTTTCAGCTCCTGATTTATGGAGAATAATCCAGTCTGAACTGTGTCTTTCTTCCTCTCCACCATGCCCGACTCTGCCCCCTTTTCCTACAGGGATTCTGAGCCTTCTCCTGATCCAGCTGCTGGGTCACTCCCAGGGAGCGCCCATTGCTGTGCCCACATTAATCGGGCAGACCCATGACCTGTTGCTCCTCCTGCAGGAGAAAGCCTCCGCTCTGCTGAGCACCTACGTGAGTATCACCACAAGTGGGCAGCACTCTTTGGACGGAGTCAAGGGGGAAGAGGGAAAGTGGTGACGGGTTGGGGTGGGGGGTGGTGGGCAGAGGTGGTGGGGTCCTCACCAATTGTTGCTGAAAAACACTTTCTGATGGAACTATGACTATCCGACGATTCAGCCCACTATATCTGTGTTGACCACGACACCCATTCTAAACAAATCCCATCTGCCTGCACATGCCCTGTATCCCTCTATCCCCAGAGTGTTCATGTCTCTGTCTAAATGCCTCTTAAACATTGCTATCGTGTCTACTTCTCCAACCTCCTCTGGCAGCGCATTCCAGGCACCTACAAAGCTCTGCATAAAATACTTGCCTCGCACATTTCCTTTCAACTTTCCCCTCTCACCTTAAACGAATACCCCTCGTTTTAGCCATTGCCACCCTCAAGAAAAAGACTCTGGCTACCCACCCTATCCACATCTCTCATAATTTTATACACTTCCATCAGGTTGCTCCTCAGCCTCCGACAATCTAGTGGAAATAATCCAAGTTTGTCCAATCTCGCCTCATAGCTAATCTACTCCAATCCAAGCAACGTCCTTGTAAACCTCTTTTGCCCCCCTCCCCAGAGCCTCCACATCCTTCCTGTAGTCTGGTGACCAGAACTGCACACAATACTTCAGAAGTGGCCTAACTGAAGTCTCATACAGCTGCAACTTTGCTGGCCAACTTTTCTATTCAGTGCCCCGACTGATCAAGGGAAGTATGCCGTATGCCTTCTTTATCACCTTATCAATGGTGTTGCCACTTTCAGGGAGCTATGGACTTCTACCCAAGATCCCTCTGCAAATCAGTGATCCTAAAGGTCCTGCCATTAACTGTACACTTTCCTCTTTCATTTGATCTCCCAAAATGCATCACTTCACATTTGTCCAGCACTACTGCCTCACAGCACCAGGGACCTGGGTTCGATTCTACCCTCGGACAACTGTCTGTGTGGAGTTTGCACATTCTCCCCATGTCTGCATGGGTTTCCTCCGGGTGCTCCTACAGTCCAAAGATGTGCAGGCTAGATAGATTGGTCATGGTAAATTTCTCGTAGTGTTCAGTGATGTGTAGATTAGGTGGATTATAGGGATGGGTCTGGGTGGGATGCTCTGAGGGTCGGTGTGGATTTGTTGGGCCGAAGGGTCTGTTTCCACACTGTTGGGATTCTATGATTCTCTGATTCTAAACTCCATCTGCCGTTTCTCTGCCCAACCTTCTAACTGATCTATATCCTGCTGTATCCTTTAATAAGCTTCCTAATTGTTCACAACTCGTTTCAACAATTCTCATCTCATCTGCAAATTTACTGTTCAGACCACCGGCATTTTCATGTGACTCACTTTGATAGATGTTACAAACAGCAGAGATCCCAGTTCTGATCCCTGCTGACCACCACACGCCGTAGATCCCCAGTCAGAAGAAAATATCCCTCCACAGTTACCCTCTGTCTTCAATTCCTTATTTATTTTTGTCTGCCGCGTCGGGATTTGACTCCATGTTCCTGGACTCTGATATCTGTGTCCGCTCTTAGTGTCCAAAGAATACAGCTGTCAGGATAGGCCAGGAGAATGAGGCTAAAGGAGGGGCAGTGCCCGGCTTCTGGAAGAGGTTACAAAGATAGGGAGAGCTGTAGGACTGGAAGAGGTTACAGAGGCAGGGAGAGAGTGAAAGAACTGGAGTGTAAGGAGTTTACAGAGGGGATGTAGGGGCTGGAGGAGGTTACAAAGAAAGAGGTGGGGGGGGTGTCCTGATTAAAGGTGTCACAGAGATACAGGGGGAATTAGGGGCTGGAGGAGATTACAGAGATAGGGGAGAGGTGTAGGGGCTGGAGGAGGTTACAGATCAAGAGGGTTGTACAGCTGGAGGAGTTACAGAGATTGGGGGGTGTAGGGTCTGGAGGAGATTACAGAGACAGGGAGGGGTATAGGGAACTGGAGGAGATTACACAGATAGGGGAGAGATGTAGTATCTGGAGGAGGTTACAAAGATAGGGGACGGGGTGTGGAGGCTGGAGGATGTCACAGAGATAGGGAGGGGGTGTGGAGGCTGGAGGAGGTCACAGAGATAGGGAGGGGGTGTGGAGGCTGGAGGGGGTTACAGAGATAGGGAGGGGGTGTGGAGGCTGGAGGGGTTACAGAGATAGGGAGGGGGTGTGGGGATTGATTGATGAGGGTAAAGCTCCCTCTCCCCTGTCCATATTGAACATTCCCTGGGGCCTGTGATGAGTCTTGGCATTTTCCCTAACAACTCTTTCTCTCCCCCTCCACCCGCAGCTCACAGCAATGGGCCTCCCATTCTCCGAGCCAGGTTTCAGCCTCCCAGACATGACCCTCATCGGGCTGCCCTCGCCCTCCATCGGGTACTTGGCCTGGCGCAGGCTGACGGATGGGCAGCGCCTTTCGGAAAACTACCGGGCCTACAGCCTGCAGCTGGAGTACCTGCAGCTGGTGCTGGACGACCTGCAGGCCCTGGGCCTGGGACAGAGCTCCGGGAAGCTGACCGAGCAGCTCACCACCTGCCGGACCCAGATCCAGGGGCTCCTGGCCAACCTGCGCTCCCTGCTGGAAGCCCTGGCTCAGCCCCTGCCTGCCATCGGCGAGCCCCTGGACTCCAAGGCCTATGGGACCTCCGATTTCGAGAGGAAGCTCCGGGGATACATTGTCTGCCGGGAGTATGTGCGCTGGATCGACCGGACACTGAGGGATTTCGCACTCCTCTCGGACAGTGCCTCCACCTGATGGGGGGAGGTGGGGCGAACACACCTCCCTCCCTCACACCACCCTCCTGCCCCGACCTGGAACGCTGGCCAGAGGCGAGGCGGGATGAGCAGACCTGGGTTTCCTCTTCTCGTTTATAGCATCCTCACTGTAGACCGCCACCCAGTGGCCAGTATTTGCACTAGCTTTGTGACAGTTGACATAGAGATGTCAAGTTGCTGACTTTAACAGGTCGAATTGACCAAATATAACATGGTAAATGCACTACTCTGCCACAGAAATTGCACCAATAATTGACAGATTTCGCCGCTTGGGCGTTGCCTACTCCAGTGCCTTCTGTGAGTCACCGGCCCCACTGACCCACCTGTGTTTCTTGTGGCAACACTGGGTAGAAACCTGTCATATTGCAATTCCACCCTTTTGCCATCTGGTGGCACACTGAGTGTGACATGTTTACATAGCAAATCCCTGTTTGAAATGTTTGGGCTATATTTGGGGCCAGAAATGCCAACAGGGTTAAATATTTCCTACGTTGTAGACATTGAGAATATATTTGCAATATTTAAATAGCTCTGTTTTCTGTCAATTTTTAAGTTATGCTTATTTATATGAAGGGTTTGTCTGTTATATTTTTACAGTGTAATTTATTCTAAATTAAGCATGACCTGAAGTTGTAAATTCGTGTTGTGAACGGAAATTATACATTACTTAGACAGAGATTTATAGAAATGTTAATAAAAATGTATTTCCAACACACTTGGGTGTTATCTGTGAATCTTGTGAATTATGAAGGTGAAGATATGTACACACTCATGCTCATGCTCTGTCACACATGCACCTGAGATATCAAGGTGTAGAGCTGGATGAACACGGCAGGCCGAGCAGCGTTAGAGGAGCAGGAAGGCTGACGTTTCGGGCCTAGACCCTTCTTCAGAAATGGGGGAGGGGAAGGGGGTTCTGAAATAAA